AGAGCATTACACCTGAGAGTTTAGAAATTGGGTTTCTTCGTTGGGTGGAAAAAGTAAAGAGCTGGTAATCAGAAGGCCTGGTCTAAAGTTTTAACTCTGCCACTATTACAAAATGTAGCCTTAGAAACTCAATCAACTCATCTGCAAAATGACAAGGTTGGGACTGACCACGTGTGTTTTGGTCACATACGGCTCTGAACTCTGGTGCTATATAAACATTTTGTTTGCAAAGTCGAGATGCAAGAGAGTAGTGATTTATGCAGAATTCTTTGTGGAACTCCTTAAGCAGTATGGGAGTTTTCCTTTGCTAAACGTGCAGCAGTTGCTGCTACAATTGTAGCCACTACTACCAACAATAGCTGTCATAGCTACCATTTGCCAAGTACCTACTAAATGCTAGTTGGTACTGGGGCCTTCTCATACATTTTATTATTATTGATGTACAAATTACGATTAAAATTGCATAGATGGAGAAACTGAGATTCAATACAGTTGGAGTGACTTGGCCCAATGTCATATGGCTAATAAATAAATGGCAGAGGTGGGTCTGAATCCAGGTTTTCTGATACCGAAAGCTGTTTTTCATTTTCCTCCCTGTGTGAATGATAGGCAGTTCTATTAGGTTGTCAGAAAAGTCATGATGTATTTTTTCTATGTTTTTCGTTGCAAAAATGGTTTGACTTTTCCGACCACCCAATAAATTAGTTGTGTGATTTGGCGTGTCTTTATCATGACTTTAAATACCATTCATATACTGACATCTCTCAAAGTTTTATCTCCAGCCCAACCCTTCCCTGAGCTCCAGACTTGCATTTCCATGTAACTCTTCCACTGAATGTCTAATAGCCATCTCAAAACTAACATGTCCAAATCCAAGCTCTGGGTTTTACCCACAATGTCGCTGTCTACCTGAGGTCATCCCAAGCTCAGTAAATAGCAACTACATTTTTCTTTCTTGACAAGACTAAACACTTAGAGGCATCCTGAGCTCTGCTCATTCTCTCATGCCCCACCTCCAATTGCTCAGTAAATCTGGTCAGCTCTCCTACAAAATACGTCTAAATGTGATGACATTTTGCCACTCTCACTGTTTCTGTCATAGCCCAAGCCGCCAGCATCCCTGGACTTCATTCATAATGGCAGTAGGCCCTCAATCTATCTTTTTGCTTCTGCACTTTACTCCCATGTAGCTTATTCTCCATGAAACAGCCAGAGTTATCTTTGTAAAATGTGAGTCAGGTCATGATTTTCTCCTCCTGAAAACATTTCAGCCCTCTCTCCCCATCTCATTCAGAGTAAATTTGGTGTCCTCACCAGGGCCTACAACTTCAGCCCTTGACCTCCACTCTCACTGACCTTATGTCCTCCACTCCCCGCCTTTCCTACTCCGCTGCACTTACAGTAGGTTCCCTGCTGGTTTTTGAACATACTAGTTTCACGTCTATCTTCATACTTTGCTCTTATATTTGCTATTCCCCTTCCATTTGCTTTCACCCTAAATTTCCATGTCTCATTTCCTCACTTCCTTTGGATCTTTGTTCAAATGGTATCTTTTCAGAGAGGACTTCTCTGACCACACGACCTAAAACAGTACCTCGCCCCTCTTCTCTTTTTATGCTGCTTTATTTTTCTTAATAGCACTTATCACTAGTTGACATATAGCTTATTTTTATTATCTTTCTCCTCCCAAACACTCACATACACACAGATGTAACTATATGAGAGCAGGGACTTCATTTTGTTTAATGTAGCATCCTGAAGCCTAGAAGAACGTCTACCACATAGTAGGCATTCAATAAATATTTGCAAATTAACAGATGAAAGAGTTAATAAATGCAAAATAAAAAAGTGTGCATATTAAGCTAAAATCATAAAAACTGACATGAAGCGTATTTAAAACTCTGGGACTTTTAGGAATAGGGATTATTTTTAACTTGTTTATTATCTAGAAAATAGAACCATATTTTATTTAACTATCAAAATAAGGCACTAGGCACAGCAAAAGAATTTTCAGTTTTCAAAATATACCCTGGCAAAAATAGTGCATGCATAAGCATAATTTCTTATTCTGCCAAAATCAAGAAACAAAGCTTATTTGAGATGCAACAGCTTCTAATGAATAGAATAGTTCTTTATGAAACAATTTAGGATTTTTGTTGGAAGTACTCAAAGAGGTATCAGTCTAGGTTTAAAATACACACTTCTATATCGGAAATGGACACATTCTGGCTAAGAAACGAATGATAATAAATGCACGATGACCTCTCAACTGTGCTCAAACCCCTGTAACTATCTCTAAGCATTTTGAACTTCCTGTGCTCAAAGTCAGAAAACCAGGATTTGAACCTAGGGTTTTCATTGTGAGAAATAAAAAACAGAACCATTGGGAAAATCTCTTGTAAACTATAGAGTATCATATACCTCAAAGTTTACTAGGATCGCTAATGAAGTGTGCCACTATCACCAAAAGACTGATGAATGTATCCATCTTAGACTATTAGCCCACCTGCCTTTTCTTTTGTCTCTAATCCTAGGTGAGTCATCTGAAATATAATATTTTAGTTCAATCAATTAAAGATTTTTAAAAATCTACTTTTTCTAGAAAAATTTCTAAAAGAAATTTGTGGCAATAAGCCATTTATAAGCCTCTAGGAGAGTCAACAGTTTGGCAAATCTTAATAGATCTACCTGACTGCTTAAACGTTTCAACTTGCATCACTGCAGGCCTCCTCACAACTTTGCCCCATGGAGGTTTTTTCCTTTTTTCTGGGAAGCAAGGTTAAACCCTCAAATTCAAGTTGTATCTTGATTCCTAGAGAGCTCCCATCATAAACTATGTCCTCATTTCCCAGGTTCTCTGATCAGAACTTCTAAAACTGCCCTCGCACTCTACCACAGGCAGTCTACCTTTTCTGAGGGTCTTAAATTAAAATTCATGGCCTCCCTTACTTCATAGTATTTTTTGGCATGGAGATGATAGCTTCATGATATTCTGAAAGCTCTCCATACAAAATCTTTAAAACAAAAAACTGCCTTTTTCTTTAATATTGGGCTTTTAAAATTCCACTTTATCATTCAGATTCAGGACAAAATAGATTTTTCTGACCTATCCAAACCTTCCCTTTTGTACTTGATTTGTGTCTGATTTGCTAACCTCTGATTCATTAGTCACTTTTTTATTAAATATATACCCTCCCAGTGTCTACTCTGAACAGGACATTGAACTAAGTCTGAGTTTTCACATAACTACATGTAAAAATAATGTTTACATAAGGGGTATATAATTATTTGTAAAATATAATAAATAATATATAGAAAAATTTATTCAGTGCCCAGATTATAAATATTTGAAACATAATATTAGACCATAATTTATAATTCAAGAGACCTAAATCTAAACTTCGACTTTATTATTCATTCCTAATACTAATTCAAAGTCATTGTTTTCTTCCTGTACAACTGGGTTCTCTTAAAACAAAGGTAAGGAAACAAATTGCTTTAGACAAGTCAGAAGAAATTATTAAACCTTAAACAATGAAACAAACATCAAATTAAAATATGTTGATGTCTAGCAGAACTTTGGGGGATAAGGAGGGGATGAACCAGAGGTTAGAAGGAGACTGAATCCCAGAATGCCATGTTTCTGAAGATATCATTTACCACAATGGTGGGCAAGTCAGAGAACATGATTTACAGTCCCTCCACACACAGCTGAACCGAGTTCCCTGGTGCCCAGCTTATCCCATCTCTTGAACTCCACACCTTATCTAACTCAAATGTTTTCTGGACCTGTTAAGAGCAGTGAGCTTTTGCCATGCAAGCCTTCAAGCCAGGCTCTGGACTGACCATGTTGCAGAATCCCAGGTAACACCTCTTGTAAAGAAGAAACAACATTAAAAGTTGTCCTCTTTGAGGCTTTGCTTAAATTTCATTTTCCCCTTCAGGAACTTTCCCTCTGATTCCCAGTGCACATCAGCCCTCATTCTAAGGCTGCTGTGTTCTTCCTGTAAATATCTCTGCCTGGCACAGCCCCAGTCTTCCAAACCTTCGCTTCGTTGGGCTTTCCAGGGCTGGCTGTCAGCCAGACCACTGTACCTTGCCTGGAATAAAAGCTATCATTCACAACTACTCTGTGTAACTTCTAGGAATAAATCAAATGACCATCTCCCACCAGGTGTCATCAATCCCATTTCTAGGGAGTAGCTACTTCAATAAGGAGAATGAAGAATAAAATAAGGATGTAAATAGATAGGTAGACATTAAGCCTTTAGAGGGAGAGAGAGAATTATAGCAGGACCTGTGACTTGACTAGAACACAGGAACAGTGACAATAAATAAATAAATAAATAAATAAATAAATAAATAACATAAATAACATAAATAACATAAATAACATAAAGGAAGGAAGGAAGAGAAAGTAGAAAATCAATAGGAATAGTAAATACTGTTGGGAAAAGAGTTTGGAGAAATACTTGAAAGGCTAGTGTAAACATAGTCACTGTTGTAAATATTTACTAATTCAAAGCTTTCAAATGCTGAAATAAGAAATAGAAAGTAAAATTCTGACTAGAAGGAAATAAAATTATGTAATTCAGATTATGTATATGTTTTCCAAATGTAGAAGCAATAAAGAAATTAACTTATAAAGTTTACTCATTACATAACATTGTAAAATGTGAGGAAGGAGGCTTGTAAAAGAGAACCTAGTAACAGGGTCAAAATTAATGAGGAAGCCTTGGATGTAGCAAGCAATTCAGAAGGAAGCAGAGGAGGGAAGAAGAAAGAAGTAGTGAGTCAGGGGGAGGAGAAATACAAGATGGGAAAAAGTGGTTCACTTACCTATGATTCTATTTTACAATATGTTAACTGTTGAGAAAGAGGTAAGAAAAAGAAACAGCACATAACATTGCCAACAAACGACATACAGTTTCAAAAAAATTCACAGCTCAATAATTCAAAGAGCAAAATCACAGTAAGTGACTATTTGAAAAAAAGGATATGAATGTACCAAAATCTTAATAGCTAATTTTCTAATAGGGTTGAAGGGAGTTAATATGTACAGGGCAGAGGTGGCACTGAATCGAGAGATGGCCTTCCCTTTATTCAATACTATAAACGTCTGAAAAAGAAAGAAAAATATATAAAACATAACTTAGAATATACATCAAGGACATTTTAGGAGAAAGGTGAGATCGTTATTTAGAAAGATAGCCCTAGAAAAAATGTAGTAACATACTAATTGCCAACATATGAGATGATGATGGGTGCTTTTTTCTTTCTGAGCACTATACATTTTCCTAAATTTTGTGACATGAGGATTTAAAGCAGAAAATAAAGAAAATTTGTAGTCAATGCCACAGAAATTCTTAGCATCTTTATCAAGTTTTGATATCAGTATTCTTACACTATTTATCATTCGTGAAAAGCATAAAAATGAGGCTTCAATAACATCTTCAGTTAGAAAATGTGAAAATTTTTTCAGAAAAACTTCAGGGTTTTCCAAATGTGCTTTTAGATCAAGTTCTTTTGAGCAATTTCAAGTCACCTGTTATTATTTCTGTGGTATGAAGGCAAAACCTGTTGAACATCAAAATGCCTTATATAGAGCTGAAGATGGTAAAGAGGCATTCAGATACTACTTTTGGAAATATAAAATACACATATGAAAAGTTTTCCCCTTGTTTTCATGTTTTGTTTCACCACACTGTAAGGTGATAGACTTTTGCCTTTCCCCAATGCCTCCTCTTCAGTTCTCTGCCTGTCCTGGGAATGTAGGTTCAGACGAGTGCTTTCAAACCACTTATAATATAATGGGGCCATTACACGGTCAGGCCCACCCAGCATCCTAATGCTACTTGAGACAGAGAGAAGGAGGCACAGCATTCTCTACCAGGAATCCCTGGGAACAGCCTGGCACCAATTAGGAAACGGAAAGGAAAGGCCACTTGACTAAGAACTCACTTTCTTATTGATATAGTACGGGTCCAGGTCCTCCAGGGGCTGTGACACCATCTCTGGAGGGATGTCTCCATAAATAAATGGAAGGGATTTTCCTGCTTCCAAGTCACTATTTGGCTTTGGGCCGTTTTCATCATCCTCATCCTTGCGCTCTTGTTTGGGTCTCTTAGCTTTCTCTTCTGCAATGCGTTGTTCAATAGCAGCAAGGGATTCCCTTGTGAAGAAGCGGAAGCTGTCAGGTCCTGGAGGTACCAGCACTGACTGTGCCATCTTTTCATCCTGCTCCTTTAATCACTGTTTAGCTCCTTGCATAAGAAAGTGCTATGGAAACAAGAGAAAGAAAGAAAAAATAGAAAGGAATGCCATTAGGAAATAAAGTGACTGTGGCAATTACATGACATTTAGATAAAATATATAAGCCAAGCTGTCTGTAATACTATTTTACTAAGGAAGCTGTATTTAGCACCCAGGAATTCCCATGCATGCATTTGTTTGCCTGCATGGAGATCTATCTTTCATATTCAGTAGATGTCTATGAGGTAATCTCATCTCCCACTCCCAAAATGTTTGAAGTGGAAATATCCAATTCAGAGCCAGGAAATGGAGGATACTGGTTTGTGCTTGCTGTTTCATTTGTGTGAATATTTTGGCAGCCATCTTTTTCAACATCCTCTCTGAAAAAAATATCAGAATTCCAGGACAAGAGGTGAATAATCACCCAGAATTGTAGAACCTGGGCTGTGCAAGGGTCTTGCGTGTATCTCTCCATTTTTTTCTCGGTTCCCTTTGGCCTACTTTTCCACCCTTAAGAGCTTATTCAAAATCAACGCACCTGGTAAAAGCTCTGGAAATCCTGACATGCCAGGCTTTGGAAACATAGGTGGATACTGCTTGAAAACAAGGGAGCAGGAAGGCGCAGGGGATGCCCAGTTGCTTTTGGAACTGTTTGGAAGCTGCACAGGAAGAGACCCAGCTCCTGCCAAACTGGGCAGGAAGTCACCCACGTCAGAGGTCTGGAGCTCGGACCCCCTGGTTTAGCAACCTGCTGCTAACTTGTGTAATTGCTTCTTAAATTCCCAAATTTGCAGTTACTTAGGAAATGCTGTAGAGATAGCCCATTTTCTCAAATAGTGCCCATTTCATAAAATCCACAGCACAGCTTGAAAAAAATAATAAGTTGAACATAGTTTATCTTTTAAGCAAATTCCTATTATATTGTCCTTTGTGAGCACATAAGTGAAGTTTTGCTGTATTCTAATCATATTTTACTGGACTAACATATATAACTCAACAGAGCACACACCAGTCATTCCAACTGTTATCTCTGACTCAGTGGCAGGAGTGTCTATGCTTTTTGAAATAACACAACCAAAATCTTGAATCCGAAATGCCATCTGTATACAATCACTTATCTATTTTTCCTTCTTTTAAAATGTCAACCCATTTTAACCCCCACCTTACAGAAATGAGAACTGCCATTTAATTATATGAAGTGCATTTTCTAAGAGTAAAATTCATTATTATCCAGATCATTCCTGAAGCATATGCCAGATCAAACAGGGAAATCTAAAATAACATAAGCTACTATACCATCCATCTCCACCTTTTTTTTTGAAGTAGTCTAGGTAGGACCTCTCGGCCACCAGCTAGCAGACAGCCTTCAGTATCACAGTGCCCCCCAAAACATCCCTCATTTTCCTCACCCAGTCCCAGGGACCATTATGCCCGGCGACAGGCATGGCAGTCCCCTCCTTGCACACTCCAGGTAGGAAACTGCCATGCCTGAATGTTCGAAGAGAAGAGACATGCTAAAACATGCAGCCAGCAGTTTCAAAATGAAAGTGGTCCTCTGCAGATTCCCCCAAGTATTCTACTGTAAAGGTAGAGAAGCATCACAGAGAATAAGCATAATAAGAATATTAAAACATTACCCCTGCAGGATCTTTTACACCAAGAGTTTGGGATTGATATGCTGGCACCAAGAAGACTGCAGCTAAAATTCCATCACGCTTTTTTTCTTTTTTTTCATTTTTTCTTTTCTTTTCTTTCTTTCTTTTTTTTTTTTTTTTCTTTTTTCTTTTTTTTTAAATTCTCCTTCAAAGACCACACCTAACTTCCTGTGAAAGGATTCTGGTAACTGAAGTAAGAACGGGCATTTCCTGTGTGGGGACTACAAAATGGCATTCCTGTAACTACCACTAGAGGGCGGGTAACTGTGGAGACGAACCCCTCACAGTGTAACACTGTACGTTTGAAGCCGCCCAAAGCTTTCAGTAATGGAGCTCTGATCTTCTACAGGCTCTTCTTAGAATGCAGCATTAAGACTGCTTTCAATTATTAATTTTGTTAACCAATAATGCTCCCGTTCAAGCTTTTTATTTGCTAAGCCAGAAGTCATTCAATCAATACAAATAATTCAAATTAAAAGTAAAAAGCAAGTAAATAATGAAGGGGTAAAAATAAAAACTCATAAAACAGCAATTATATGCAATTTAGCCTCAGTCCCAGAGTATCTCAAATCCAATAAAGTGCTTTGCTAATTCAACAAAGAGATGGCCCTTGTGCTATACAAGTTAACGTTCTCTAGAAATAAAATTAACCTGATGAGACACTAATTTTATTTTATATCTGATTTGAGTGACTGAAAAGCAACCAGAAGAAAACTGAATCCTAAATGCTAGTCTTTTCACTAACATGGCTAAGATTTGAGGGTTTACTATGTGCCATTCACTGACTGGGCTAAAATGTGTGCATGTGTTATATATCACTTCATCCTCTCCACAATCCTTTCAGGTAAACACTTTTATGGTCCTTATTTGAAAACTGAAGAAAGGAAGTGCACTGAGGTTAGGAAAAAGTCACCTAAGATCATACAGGCAAGATTCAAACTCAAAGTCTGACACCAAAAATCTGTAAACTTTATTCCGTCTTGAAAAGAAACACCTGCTCATGCAAATAAGGCCTAAAATAAAGATTAAATAAAAATTAAACAGTGGCACCAATTATAATCAGAAACAGTCATAATTATTAAATTGGTATATTTTGCATATTTTGTAGCTTCACCATTTTCGTTAAAAGATGTATTTATTATAAGTGGGCAAGGAGAAGATAGAACCAAAAAGAATTTTTTAGTCATTATAGCAAGTCTCTTTTGAGTATAAGAGATAAAAGAATGACTCAAACTGGCTTAAAGGAAAAAAGGAAGGAAGGAAGGAAGGAAGAATGGAAGGAAGGAAGGAAGGAAGGAAGGAAGGAAGGAAGGAAGGAAGGAAGGAAGGAAGGGGGGGAGTTCATTGGTTCACCATTTGTTGTCTACAGTAGCTTTAGGCTTGGGATGATTTGGAAGCTCCACTGATGTCACCAGCACCTAGCTATGCTGTATCCTTTGGCTCTGACTTCCACGGTGATAGCTTTCCTACAGATTTGCTTCTTACTGTAGTAAGATGCTGTAGCAGCTCCAGCCTCCCAACTTCCCAGATTTAAATCCAATAGGAACAAAAACCCAGTAAAATTCTCTTTGTATCTCACTGACTCCGATGCGTCACATGCCCATCCCTAAAGTAATCATTCTGTCCAGGGTAATGCCCTGCTTTGGGCTTCGATTGGCCTCCCCTAAGCCAAATGGCCCACCCTTGAAACTAGGAGGAAACCCCACTTGAAGCTTATGAACAGTCAGGATTTTGGTAGTGGTACAGAAACATTCCTCAAAAGCAGAGCTGAGGTGCTATTATTAGAATGGGGGTGTGTGTGGGGGGGTGTTGCTGGTCAACAAAAACAAACAAGTATGCATTCTAGCCTCAATATTTAGAGAGTATCATTATGAACATCAGCATATACGTGTGTATATATATATATATATATATATATATATATA